ACAATAGTAAATAATCCATCAATTTATTGATAGTCTATCAAACACCACCTGTCGCTGCAAAGTGCAAATTACCTCTACGTACGTCTGCTAAAAAGTATTTCGCATACTTTTATTTTGTTCCATGTAGACGTCGATAAAATCGATTCCTCATGCCATATGCTGAAAATACGTTAAAGCGATTTTATCAATGTCGAACCGAACACTCAATAAAGTTTTCATAATTCGTGTAATTGGCTATACCAGCAGAAATATAAATCTCTCTTTTCTTTACAGCCTTCACTTACCAGTATTAGTCTTCTCACTACACATTGGTGTTTTTATTATATTTTCTTATAATTAACATTAAGAGCAAAGTAAAAAAAAAACAAGTGTTAATTTTTAAGAATACCATCGATATTCTTTCATATTATGAACAAAAAAGTAATTACTATCATTATTTTTTAACAAACTGATATATGGTATAGCTGTACACATAAATGCAGACGATATAACAGATGAAATCATAAAGTTTAATATCATTCCAGATTCCTGTCATAAAACGTATGTAAACGGTTAATCTAGAATAGATTGTATATTGTTTTAACGTATTCCGTAACTAAAAAGGAACCCTTATTGAATCACTAATGTAAAAAGTTGACAACAACTTGCTTCAGCGATCCCTTAAATGCGATACTGCATTCGATTTGTTTTTAATCTTCGTAAGTATGACCACGTGTCTGCTTTACGTTCTTAACTGAAATGGCTTCCGATTCGTCAACGCCGCAGTCTGCGCGCCCTACATATCTTTTTTAATTTCTCAATTCCCCATCGGTACCTGAGTACCTGGTTCCTTATCTCCGCCGCCTTTGCTCCAATCACGAACGAAATCTTCGGTCACCAAATAATATGCTTCTTCTTTGCCCCCCTCACACTTCCAACTTCATTAATTCTTCCTTCTATGTACAGTCAGTACTTCTCTGGAATGCGCTTCCAGTTGAAATCAGGATGTCCACTAACCGCTTTACGTTCAAGAAGAAAGTACAAGATGTTCTTCAAAATAAGTTGGCAGAAAGGTCACAACGCTAGTACCCGACTATGTATTTTGATATTTATGTATTTTTACATATATTATTTTATTTATATTATATAGTGTATATATGTAAGTTATTTAAGGTAAGGGCGACTGGCAGAGAATGCCTTGGGCATTAAGTCCACCTTTTTTTTTTTTCCGTGCGGAAACCCCCTTAGGATACCACCTATCGGTGGCATGTCGGACTCGAACGGACTAAAACCGCACTTTGTCTCGGGTACTAATAGCCGGGGAACCAGGTATACCCTAGAAAGGAAGTCCCTGGTGCCCCGACATACCTCGGGCCATCTACAACAAGTAGACGACCCCCCCCCCCCGTTGTGGGAACCCCATGTTCCCTCTGATCCTTGGAAGCGAGCGCTCACCGCCACCCCGGCCTGCTTATGCTATCCTATCCTTTCTCAGTGATCACCAGCGTCAGTCGGTATGAGAGGGTCCCGTGACGCCTCTCGAGCCAATCCTCCATAACGGGTCTTACCGCCGCGATGACGGCGTGCCCGGGGCATTAAGTCCACCTGTGTACAACTTGTGCATTAAGTTAAATATATTTAAAAATAAAATAAAAATGTGTAAAGAAATAAAAAAATCCTAAATCTTAGGATCCCAGTAGCAATCAAAGGATCCGGGCCACTGTCACCTTATATAATATTACCACTGATTCGTTATCGCTTATTGTTTCTTTTAAACGACTTCAAAAACACAAAAGAGGAGGTTATGAAATCGGCTGTATTTCTTTTTTATATGTTTGTTACGCGATATAGTATAGTCGAAAGAGTATAGTCTCGAGGTGGTCCCATTATCACCAAACCAGGATTTGATGATGGGATGCTAGAGTAATCGAGAGAAACCCTTAAAACAGTAACTTGTGTCTTTTGTGTCAACGCCTGAGTGCCACCACTGCGATGGTCGGACCGTGGACACGGCTCTCCACACGGCGTGACCACGGAAGTGGGGGTTCTCTCGCTCGGTAACATGATTGCGACCATGATGCGGAGCGAGAGTACGTAGTGCGTGGTTCGAGTCCGACTTAGCCATCGGTGGTTGGTATCCGAGGGGATGTCGACGCATAAAAAAAAGACCTTGTTTTCATTGGGTTACGGAGATATGTGCACAAGAGAGTAATATATGAGATTACAAAACATTCAGACAATAAAAAAAGTTTGTCCTCAATTATTTTTGTTTGTTACTCAAAACTCTTTCATTTGTAAACCGATTCGGAAAATTCTTTTTCTATTGCGAAGGCTATATTTACCCTTTAGTTCCATTCAAACGTGGAGAAAAAATGCCACTCCTAGTGGTGACAAATTAAGTAATGTGGAAAACAATATATCTTTGGGTTCAAATGGAAACTCTTACTACCGTATCTAAATAAAGTAACGGACTGACTAAACGATATTTAATTAAGGGTATCTCAGTAAGAGTGCAGTTTTTCATTATAAAATAAAAACACGTATTTTATGGAAGAGTCGTGATATTTTTATTGGATTGTAAAGAATACATGTTCCGATTAAGTATGGAATAAAATATCCGGCAAATAGCTCCCACGGCTCTGATTAGAGGCCATTACTCTTTTCATGAAATTTTCAATGACATTTACATAGATGTGGCTGTATCTCACCGATGCCGTGTTGGATCTCTGATTTGAGCTCAGGTATTGTTTCTGGTTTATTCGCATAAACCCGAGATTTCACAAAATCCCAAAGAAAAAAATCGCACGGCGTGAATCGCACGATCTTGGTGGGCAGTTGACATCAGAATTTTGTGAGATAATTTATTCGGGAAATCGTTGCTGCAATAAGTGGATTGTTTCATGCGCGGTGTGGCAAGTGGCGACGTCTTACTGAAACCACATGTTGTCCAGATTCATGCCGTCCAGTTGAGGCCACAAGATCTCCGTTATCATATTCCTGTAACGAATGCCGTTCATAGTCACTGCAATTTCGGCCTCATCTTCAAAAAAGTAAAGCCCAATCACGCCGCCTGACCAAAATCCGCACCAGACAGTTACTCGTAGTGGGTGCATTTGTTTCTCATGGATTTCAATTTTGTGTATTCTCGTAGCCATTCAGATGGAAATGAGCTTCATCGGAGAAGATGACTGTTTTCGAAAAATTGGCATCGACTTCACTTTGCTCCATTACCCATTGAACGAATTGCCGGCTCTTTCCATGGTATGGTGGTTTGAGCTTCTGAGTTATCTGAATCTTGTACGCATTAAGATGGAGGTCTTTTGTCAAAATTAGCTCTACGCAGCTAATTTTGACAAAAGAGAGAAATTTGAAGTTGTTGAGCACGATGCCCAACTGATGTTTTCGGGATGTTTCGAGGATTCTTAATATCCATAATCGACCCAGTTTCTTCAAATTTTTTGACCACTCTTCCAATGGTTGTCACATTAGGTGCACTTTCTCGACTGAAAATTTGGCGAAGTTTGCGAGCGGTTTCAGCGTAACTTTCCCTATTTTTGTAATGAATTTAAAGATAATTCTTACTGAGACACCTTTATAATCTAACATACCACAATTTGACTTCAAACAAACTTGAAGGGACTATTGCTATTCTAATGTTACCTGTTATATTGAGGGTACTTATTGTAGCTTTTTTACTTAGATTTGGAATTATTTAATTCTAGTGCTCTTTGGCAGTATTATTTAAAGTCGCTTCAACTTTAAAAAAAAAAAGACTTTATTTATTAAATGGCAATCTTTTGAATTAAAAGTAATAATAATAAGTTTTAATATTAATTTGACTATGTGTTTATTTCGAAGGTAAATGTCTACGTTGAACAACGACTCATGACATTATTATCATTATCTAACTATAATTATGCAAAGCAACCCAATTAGATAGATTTAAAACTTTTCAATATAATTCCTTTACAATACTATTAAAATGTAGACGTTAATTAGTTATTTATTATTTTTTGACTTTTATTCTTCATTCTTATTTAATTCGATTGCATTCCTGTTTATTGTATCAAATTATAAAACTAAAGACTGGAACTTATAAAGTATTACTGAAATGCAAGTGACAGAACCTTATATTATTAAGTGTATTTGATTGGATAAGTTATGAAATGTGGCGTATGTACGTCTAAATTGGACAGAAATAAATCCCTTTTTTTTCGTTATGTCCGTTTCTCCTATCCTAAGTTGACACTTTGTGGCAGTTCCGCCACTTCACAATACACATAATGCCACATGAAGACTTAGTAAGAGTGGATTTTGTTTTTGTGGTTTACAATTTCATTTACGGTTTTGTACAAATCTCTACTTAAAGTTATAATACCGATTTAGTGAATAAAGACTCGAGTCGGGAGATTATATAAGTTTTATGGAACACAGATAAGCTGCTTTTGCTGCAGTATTTATAGAAACTCAAAACATTTATTCATGTCTTTAACAGCAGTGTGATAATTATTAAAGTTAGACTTTATTTGAATGCATTTTTAGTAAGTTTATATTTGAAATCTAATTATAGCATTTGAAATCTAGTATTCTGTTCGTAATAAAGCTACTCTGTCGTATTTATCCCTGATATTTATGTAACTTTCTTACTACGGGGGACAAAAATCATGTGTATAGTTACCAAGCCAGGCGGCTAGAAGTTGATCTGAGAAAGGTTTTTAAAATATATCAATATACATACTTAGCATCTTACAGTTGCACTTTTATGTTCTTTAAAATATACAAATAGTAGTGTACAGTTACATATTAAATTCACGTAGCAATACGACATCATAAGTGTATAATCTGTCGATGAATGAAATACGTGTCGGTGGTGAGACGTCGTTGTTTACCGAGATACGTGTTGACTTGCGATTGAGTTATTTACACTATATTCGTTATTTACACTTTAACTAACCTTTCTATGATAACGATTACATTTTGTATTTACAATGTATTAATGTTCTATTATGTGTTTTGTCTAGGTTATGGTCATCAGGATGCAGGTCCCGGTATCAAGGCTCCATGGGTCGTCTCAAATTTTTGAGGCGGCCATTTTGTATCATAGGTAACTTGATCATATTATTCTTTATAGTTTTAAATTTTGAACACTTCATCATCATCATGACAGACATTTATTTCTTTCCCACTGTACAATTATCTTTATAGGTTTATCAACTGATACCTATTAGTACAAACTACAATTACACAGCAACAAAACAATAATTAAAAGTTGACAGGCTTCCACTGAAGACATTCATAAACAGTGGTCGTATAACATGCAACAACCAGTAACAACAACTCTTCAAATAAAAATCAATATTACCTGTTGCTGTAAATATTTTAGAAACAAGAAGTCTAAACGTTTTAGAGTCTTGTTTTAATTATCCCGTGCCAGATAGCTTGATATATATAGCAGGTAGATTTGCTTCCTGTCTAGATATTTATTAATAATAATAATAATATACGTCGTAATTGGTGCAAAAACTAAATAGTTTGCTTTCTTTCTTTCTTCTTCACAATAAATATAATAGTAGTAAATAAATAATAATAAATAATAGTAGTAAATAGTATAAACCTTCCTTCCTATATTGACTAAAAGTTATACATACTGTAATAACAGTTCGTTTCAAAAGATTAAAAACATTGTCAAGGGTGCTTCGACATGACGACACTACTTTATTTGTGCCCTTCGTCACTATAATATAAGACATTTTATCATACAACAAATCGAAGTAAAAGATACCTAATTTTAAATGAGGAGAAAATGTCTTCTGAATGCCAACAAATATCATAAAAAAGGGACTTAGGAAAAAGTTGTTCCTTCATCTTGAACATTTCCAAGTAAAAGTCACGTTTTGTCTATAAACCGTGACGAAGTGACCCTATTTCAGGTACGAGCAATCCGCTATGACCTTCGCATTTTCGGTCTGTGCTCCCCTGACACCGGTATCGTGCGACCGCTTTGCGCTCTCTGGGGATTTAGCTCGCTCGAGACCCTACTTACCGTCATATATACCCACGCGATATTTCTGCCGAAGACAATAAAATGAACGCTACCTCCACCTCTCAATTACATATTAATGTCTCAGAGGTTTTCTTTCGTGCGGTAAACGATTACTGCCCGCTTCAAATATAAAATTTAAAACTTGATTTCTGATTCAAAGCCAATTAGAAAAGGTTTGAGGTGATTTATTGAAACCTTCATACCAAGTCAATCTTAATATTAAAAAAGGAGAAGAAGCAGCCGACCTCACTCAAAACCTTGAAAAACCCTTGGAAACTTTCATTTTAAGACTTTTATTCTGGTTGATTTTGTTGACTCCAAATCTAACAGAAAGATGAAGGACAGAATTCTGTTAGATTATACATATTTATAAGTGTCATATTAATTTAAAAACCATCCTAACCACTCTTTACATAAACACCAAACAAGGTAAAGAAGTTTACTTGAAAAATATTTATTATCCCTGAAAAATAATATTAATTACCAAAAAGATCTCAACAATCATCTTTTTTTAAATGAATTTCCTAAAGTAATCTAATTTTCATTTATTTTTACACATACTTTAAATGTTCTAGCAATTTACAAGTCATTATAATAATATGTTACCATTTTAATCTAATACATACATTTAAGTTACATTTATTATTATTTTTTATTCAAGTCAGATCATATAACCCGCCCCGCGTCGCTCCCGGTGCAAAGGTGCCCATGATACTGGCAGCATTGCCTCGCTGAATTGCAACTGACATTCTTTGCACCAGAAACGAGCGGGAGCGGGAGTCACCACTTTTTTCCCTAACTCGGCGACCAATCTCCGCAATTAACTTTTTAGCTTTTTTTATTTCCTAAAGTTCCCCTTGGTGTGTAAGACAGAAAAAATGGGTGGTGATATTTTTTTTAATACATGACGATAACATAATAATGGCAAAAGGCATTTTTCATTTTGTTTCATATATTTTTCTGTTTTTTACTTGCACGCGGTTCGTTATTGGTTGCAATACTAACCCATCCCGTTTCATTTTCTATAAGCTAGTGAAATTGGTTCAACTACTACATACAATGCAAGCAGTTCGCTTTTGGCGTTATTGTTCACAATACTAACCTAACCTACCGTTTCACCTTTTTCGCCACATCTCTGAAACGGTGCATCTAAGCGTCAAAATAACTCTTATTTTGTCTCTCTCTATGTCACCTCCAAACACCCTTTTTACCACCAGTAAAAAATATAAAAAGTGTTTTTGTAAATCATAGTCGCGTTTCCTTACAAAATTTAAAAAAAAAATAAGTGTGGGACCTGTTAGAGTGTCCCTAACCTTGAATAGTGCTCATTTACAATATTTCGTATGAGGGGAGTCATTTGTCCTAAATTCTCCATGTTCTTAATTAAAAATTCGTTTAGTCACACGTCTATCATTGAAAGATGTAATTGAAGACCCTTCTTGGGTTCACTTTTCCAAGAGGGCTCTCTTGGAAAAGTGAACCCAAGAAGGGCAAGTGCGAGACATAAGTGCCCTCGTCATCCTGTCTGTCTGCTGAACAAGCCGAGATCTCCCGACTTCAGTATTTATATTCATTTAATTAAGTTCAAACACAAGCACTTGTTGTATCATTGATGAAATAATACAATAGCAATTCAACTATATTAAAAAAAGACCCCGAACAGATCCCTGCTAAACACCTATACAATAACATCCTTCAAAGGGTTATAATTCATTGGCATTAATCTTATGATATATCTAATACTATACATAGTAACTTCATCTATTTTCATAGGCCTGACTTACGTAGAAGTGTTATTAATAAAGTCTGAGATTCGACATAGGCGTTGTTTTATTGTTGAAAACAAGCCAAGTTCGCAAGCCATCTTAACTTTACTTTGATTGATTCGATCTCTAGGACACTTTATAAATTATTGGCTCGGCTTGTTGAAAATAAGTGTACCCTTAGGTTCACCACTTGACCCAAACATTAATATTTGTTCTTTTATAAACAGGAAATCTTGATATGATATGAACTTTCATATCATATCGAGATTTCTACACTGTATTTGTATACTCTATTTATAACTTCATAAATAGTGTGTTATAAATGAATAATTGAAAATTAATACAAACACAAGCTTTTTTGTATGTGTGGAAGTACATTGTTATACCGCCTTTAAAAACCGAGGATAATCTAAGTTCATCGGAATATTATAGTTACTTTTATGTAAATTACACGAAATTTAGAACTAATTTCTTAGGGGTCGCATTGTTATGAGTTCAGGATTTGATGATAAGTACTTTACTGTATTATATGTATATTGTCCTAACCTAATTTAGTTACAGCAAACATAAATGGGTCAGACTATTTATTAATCACCAAAGCTTGTGACTGATATGTACAAAACAAAAAAATAAAGAAAGTAGGTTGAACATGACCAACATAGAAGAAAGAAAATAGTTCTTAATGGTGTGGAAATACGGCAGTGATCGTTACTCAGAATCCGAGAAAATAATATTGAAATTTGCATTCTTTTTACATTGTGTCTGCCTATTTACTCATACGAGTACTTATACATATATATAGACAAAATGTAATGTATAAATTTTTGCTTTTTACATCCATACAAATTTAAAAGAATGAAAAGAAGGTCTTTCAAATGTCATAAAAACAATATTTTTGATTTTTTTATTACTATTCCAGCTAAAACTTAACATTATTGGTTATATAAGACTTTAAGGTCTACTACACAGTTTCAGCCTTTAATTGTCCATTGTTCGCCATAAGCTCCTTAAAAAGGATGTTTAGTCAGGTACAGTGTTTGAACAATATTATCACTAATTCTCGTTAATAACTAAAATAACAATTAAAGTATAATCGATTGACTTGAATTATAGAAGAAGAATTCTTGACTGTGTCGTATTTGCCCGTTAATATAGTATAGAAAACACTTGAAAATTTTATTGATTTGACGACACAATCATCATGAAAGCACCTACATATTTTACGCCTCAAGAAAAAGTACAACAGTTGGTTTATTAGTTAGTTTACATGTAACGATAAGGAGAGGCCTATGTCCAGCAGTGGACTAGTATAGGCTGTTGATGATTGATGATATGTAACGATAACATATAAACTAAGGACAAACACAGGACTAAATCACATTAATTAAAATATTTAGAGTACCTTGTTGTCTGAAATACATAAAAATTTATAAACGTGAAATAGCCGATCAGGGAGTTTCATTCTTTTTATTAAGTTTGTGTGAATGTTTGAGTTTATTTTATTACTACTGAGCTAAGTAAGGACAAATAAGGGTAAAAACAAAGTTTGACAACAGAAAAACATATAAGAGTCTTGAATAGAAAAAGAGCCCTATGATATAAAATGCATCGTTATGCCTTCTGTGTAGACTATTAGATTACAATTTAGGATTCTTTGACCACAAAAACATCTCTAAATATCACTACTGACATAGTGTTCAATTCTCATTCCGCATAAGACTTACTTTTTTAAGCACTGGAATAAAATCAGTGAGGGACAAAGATAGAACAAGATATTACATACTTTTCTCTCATGAATTACCATCCGTTGGATCCTATGCTAGTCTGCTGCTCTATTTATTTATTTTTTTAAATCTTCACATCATCACAACAGCCTTTAATAGTACACTTCTGGAAATAGACCTCTTCTGAGAAACGAGGTTTTGGCCTAGTATACCCCAGCTGGTTGGTATAGGGTTTGTTTCAAGTTTGTCTTCTCTTTGCAATGCTTACGACACACGGGACACGGGTGGTGACACTCCGCAAAGCCTGTGCTATGGTAACCAGACTGCTGATAAACATGCTTAAATATTTCCAAATACTCTACTATAGATAAATTACACCCAGACACAGAACAAATGATCGTGCTCATCACACAAAGGTATATCTAAATTAATGTCTACTTTAAACATGATAGTATTTTGTGCAATATTTTTTTTATGTAGATGTCACGACAATTCTCGCGTCAGTGGTGGTGCTGGGCATGGGGTCGTCGGGCCAGGTGTTCGCAGCGTCAGCACTACGGGGGCTACGATTCTTCCAAATTCTTCGCATGGTGCGCATGGACCGTCGAGGCGGCACCTGGAAACTCCTCGGCTCCGTTGTCTACGCACATCGACAGGTATAATAAAAACTAATAACCTTACATCTACACCATTATTTCGTAACAATAACGGGAGAAAATGGAGTCAGTCTTCAAATAACAATGAAAAATGGGATCGCTTTGTTAGCCTACGTCGTGGGTACAATAAAATCAGCTGGGATACTGTTATATCAATGTAATGGTGATCTTCCGGACAGAAATCTTTTATATCTTTCTAAGACCATATCAGATATTTGAGAATATGTAATTTGTATATTATGTAATACTTTAATTTATTTTTCTGACATATTTTAATATTATATTTTCATTTTAATCATTCACTGCATTTTTGAGGCACTTAGCAATTATTTGAAATCGATTGGTTATATCATTATAAAGGCTATTATTGTATTATTCTATAATTTCCTGCGCAGTAGGTAAAACACTGTGTGTAAAGCCTTAAAATAATTTTAGTATAACTGTACTTATAACCGGTACAATTAAAATTATCCGATTCTAAATAAAAATATCACACTAATATGCAGCTTCATTGCAGCCCAGTGCCACTCATTTCTATAGCATTACGTGTAAATTGTAGCTCAGTATATATAAAATGAATATTAAAAAAAATTACTTAACAAAAACTAAAAAAAAACACCAAACAAGGTAAAGAAGTTTACTTGAAAAATATTTATTATCCCTGAAAAATAATATTAATTACCAAAAAGATCTCAACAATCATCTTTTTTTAAATGAATTTCCTAAAGTTCCCCTTGGTGTGTAAGACAGAAAAAAGCTCGAAGAAATCTGGGTGGTGATATTTTTTTTAATACATGACGATAACATAATAATGGCAAAAGGCATTTTTCATTTTGATTCATATATTTTTCTTTTTTTTACTTGCACGCGGTTCGTTATTGGTTGCAATACTAACCCATCCCGTTTCATTTTCTATAAAGCTAGTGAAATTGGTTCAACTACTACATACAATGCAAGCAGTTCGCTTTTGGCGTTATTGTTGCCCACTCGGCGATGACCGGCTGGAGAGCCTCCACGGCGGCGAAGCCAGCGCGTGGAGTCTCCAGCCGGAACGACCAACGAGCCATCGTGGCTCGGCGAGCGGCTTCGCGCCACTCGCGCACATCCTCGGGCGGAGGGCGAAATCCGCCTTCCGCCCGGAAGTCAGCCACTCGCCGATAAACTTCGGCGAGCACTTCCGCCTCCAAATCCCACGGGGGAGTTCCGGCCAATGCGCATGCCACCTCCGTCGAAACGGTGCGGTAACCGCGTATGGCTCTGACCGCCATTACCCTCTGAGGGCGCCAGAGGCGTACCCTATTCTGGGCGGTCAGAGCCGCCGCCCACACCGGTGCACCGTACAGCGCCATTGACCGGACAACCCCCGTGTACAGCCGTCTTGTCGCGACGCTGGGTCCACCCATATTGGGCAAGAGTCGCCCTAGGGCAGACGCAGCGCCGACCAGCTTTGGAGCAAGCTGTCGGAAGTGCTCGTCGAAGAGCCACCTCCCGTCGAGGATCAGGCCCAGATATTTCATCTGGGCCCGAACCGGTACGAGGACCGAGTTGACCACGATGGAGGCGCCAGGGGGTGGACCACGACGGGGCCCATGAAATAACAGGGCCTCCGTCTTATCTAGGGCCACCCGTAAGCCCAGCGCCTCAATGCGCCCGACCACCAGGGAGACTCCCCCTGTGGCCAGGCGCGCCGCCTCTTGGAAGTTTGCCCCCCGGGCTGTCACCAAGGTATCGTCTGCATAACAGATTACACCCAGCCCGGGGGGGAAATCGGCGCGAAGGGCCCAGTCGTACCCTATGTTCCACAAGAGGGGTCCAAGAACAGACCCCTGTGGAACACCGCACGACATGGGCCGACACCTCAGATTACCTTCTCGGTCCTCGTACACGACGGTACGCTCCTCTAAATAGTCTGCCACTAGCCGCCTCAGGTACTTTGGCACCCCATGATAGTGGAGTGCTTCCCTGATGCAGCTGAATGGCAGACTATTGAATGCGTTGGCGATGTCCAATGACACCGCCAACAGCACGCCGCCACAGCTCACGGCCTCTTCGGTCACGGCCCTCAGGCGCAACACGGCGTCGACTGTCGAACGCCCCGCCCGAAAACCAAATTGGGCGTCCGACAGATCGGGGCCCACCTCGCAGAGGTGCCGGACGATGCGGGCAGAAAGAACCCTCTCAAACAATTTGCCCGCCTCGTCCAGCAGCACGATGGGCCTATAGGCCGCGACCGAATCGGCAGGCCGTCCCGGCTTCGTCAATAGGACCAGCTTCCCGCTCTTCCAGCACTCAGGGAAGCGTCCCGACGCCAAGCTAGCGTCGAACACCTCCCCGAGGCGGTCTGCCATGTGGTTGAGGGCCAAGGCCAGCACTCGGGCCGGTACCCCGTCTGGCCCAGGGGCGGTGTTCTTGGAACGGATCCGTAGAACAGCCGCCCCTACCTCCGATTCCCGGACGGGCGGAACATTGTCCTCCCCGTGCTCCCCGTCGTCTCCGGCCAGGGAGGCCATCGACGGGGGAGTGTGTTCCGCCCGTTGTGGGAAAAGGCCCTCAACCACTTCTCGCAGGAAGCTGGGCTGGAGAGTCTCCGTAAGGGGGGGGCCCGACGCGCGGAGCTTTTGTCGCACCGCGCGGTAAGGGCGACCCCAGGGGTCACGATTAAGACCCTCCAGCATCTCCTGTCTTTTTTCCTCTTTGGCGCGGCTAATGGCCAGCTTCAGAGTTTTCCGCGCCCGTCGGTACTCCTCATGAAGCCGGTCCTCCTCACCGTCTCCACGGTGACGCCGCCGACTGCGCGTGTAGGACCTCCGGGCACGTGTACAGGCCGCACGGAGGTCCGCCAGCTCCTGGGACCACCAGTAGACCTCCTTCCTTGGAGGCCGACGACCTCGAACGCGGGGCATGGCCGCATCGCATACATGCGTAATCGCATCGCGAAAGCGGCCAGCTCTACGGCCTCGCCCCTGGCGTCCGTCCTGGGGGAACCCCACGCAATGGACTTTGCGTTGAAGTCCCCCAGCACAAGGACGTGCCCAGACGCTAGTCGCCGTATCGAGGTCTCCAAACTGGTTAGGAAAACCTCGAAGTCGTTCAAACTCCGGTTGGGGGAGAAATAGACACCATATATGGTGATCCCCCCCCCCTCGACGGCAACATATCCAGTGCCCTTGTCTCTTAGCGACAAGGGCGGGGAATGAGCCGTCGTGGAACCGACGACTGCCACGGAGCCGTCCCAGTCACCCATCCAGTTTGGACGGGGAGGGACAGAATAGGGCTCCGCGACTACGGCAACACCTATCGACCACTGTGCCATGGTTTGCAGGAAAAGATCCTGCGCCGCGGCACAGTGGTTCAGGTTCGTCTGGACCAGGAGGTTGGAGACTTGATCCATTACTGGATCGTCTCTACAACCTCCTCCATGGGCGACGACGTCGACGCAATATTGACGTCGGGGGTAGCCTGGGTCGACTGGCTAGCCCCTGACGTCTGCCGAGAACTGCGGGGAGGCTTGCAGCCTCTCTGCCCCATCTGGTGATTGGCGGGCTTATTGCCCGCCGCACACACTGGGCAGTGAGGGGCGGCAGAGCATTCTGCCGCCTTATGCCCCGGTTGACCGCAGCGGAAACACAGTCCGCCGCAGTCAAAACAGCTGTCGCACTTGACGCGCGTGTGCCCCGATGCTAGGCATTTGTAACACCTCATCGGTCTCGCCGCCAGGACTGTGATCCTAGCGCTCACGAAACCGATGAGCAGCCTGCCGGCGTCGGCCAATACTTTGGCCGACGCTACGGGACAGCTGACCCACACGGCGCCAAGTCCCCCTGGACCGGGGCGGATGGTGCCGACCCTGACGTTGTCCGCGCTGCACCCCGTCTTCTCCCGGATTACAGCGCGGACATCTTCGGCCGTCACAGAGTCGTCCAGGCCCGAAATGCGCAGCTCTGCGCACTTAGTAGGCCTGGCGATCTTTACACCATCCGCTGCTGTAAAGAGTCCCCGCAGCTTCTCGGCAAATGTGTCCGCCGTCTTAGCGCCTTCAGCCCCAGGGAACTCGAGAACTCGAGCTCCCGTCTGGGCGAGGCGCATCCTGACCCCCACCGTCCCAAAGTCGTTGGCGAGGCTGTCCCGGGCCTTTTTAAAAAACGGCCGCGTAGGACAGCCCGCCGTCAGCCGCCTCCGGGGACACGGTCACCACCACAGCCGCGGTTTTGGGCGGCTGCAGCTTCCGCGGCCTCTTTGTGGAGGCCGTTGCCACCGGTGGCGAAGGCGTGGCTTGGGCTGCTGTTTTGGCAGCCCTTTTGGCCCGCCTTCGGGACTTCTTGGAGCCCCTCGCCTCCTGCCAACCCTCGTTGGAGGGGGCAGGTGCGGAGGGGCCCGGCAGGGGTGTCGGAGTGGGGAGCGGAGGGAATGCCACTCCGCTCCTCGGCGCCGTTTTAGGCCCCGTCTTGGCCGGCGCCTGGGGATGTGCCTTGGCCGGCGCCTTAGCCGGTGCCTTGGCCGGCGCCTGGGCCGGTGCCTTGGCCCCCCTCCTCGGCTTTTGTGGAGCCGATGGAGTAGGGGCAGACGCCGCCGCCGCGTAAGAAACGCGGCCTCCCACAACGGGGAGCGCGGTCGGAGCGGCGGCCTTAGGCCGCTGTGCCGACGCGAGCGGGGGGGCGCATAATCGGCGCAGGGGGCAGTCTCGCCTCCAGGCCAGCCAGGCGTCCGTCCAGCATATTCCCAACTGCGATGAGGATTTCTCGCAGTTGGGAGTCAAATGCCCCTGAGTTGGTGGTAGGGGCAGGCTGGGATGCGGACGGGGCTTCCCGCTCGGGGAGGTTCGCCTGGAAGCGGGCGAACTGAGCGCTCAGCTCGTTCACCCGCTCCGTCAGCTTCTCGTTGGCCACCTGTAGGCGCGATACGTCGCCCACTAGGCCCTCCACGACCTCCGACAAAGCGGAGGAGGAGTCCTTAAGGGCCCTCACAAACGAGCCCTTAAGGTTCACGGATTTGGTGGCCAC